TGCAAGGGTGGGCTATGTTAAGCACATTCCTTCTTTATTTTTAACTTTCAGTCAGCTAAAGAGCAGACAGATCAAAGCCAGTTTATAGCCATGCCGGACAGTACTCCATGGCAATTGCTGCTCAGAGGCCTGAATTGCTGTGAAAAGGACAACCTTTGATCTCTCCAGCCCTTCCCACATATAACAACTCCTGCTCTGTTTGAAGCAAAGAGCTCCCCATCATGGATTAACTAAAGATTTTTGCTAGAAATAACTCTACGAAGGGCTCAAGGGGCCTGGCAGGAAAGAATAATCATTATGAAATACAGGAATGGATTAAACTGAGGGTGAGGTTGCTAAAAATCACCTCCAGACTATGTAATCAGTGACCTGACTCAAACTGGTTTTGTGCTTCCTCTCTTGCAGTTCTCCTGCTGCTGCTGTTATTATTTTTTGCCTGGGAGAAATATCTTTCTGAGTCCATTTCACCTTGATGGATTATGATGCCATTTTAAATGTCAATTGATAATAATTGTGCCATAAAAAAAAAAAAAGTTATTAGTTTAAACCTATGGTGTCCCTTTTATTAATATTTGTAATATATAAGCTTGTTGAGAAATCTATGGAGACAGCAGGACTAATAAATCTGAGGCTAAAAGGACTCCAGAAGGTAGCATGCATAGGCTTTCTGCTAGATCATAGGCAGCTGTTGAACTTTGAGAAGAGCAGAGCAGCTTGGCTGTCACTGGGGAAGTTGTCAGAGTCCAGTAAGGCGTAAAGGATGGAGGACAAACATACAAGGATATGAGGCTCCAGAGGTAATGTGGGCAATTTGCAGCTGCATCGTCCCTGGCACCTGCCAGTGCACCTATGCACCAGTGCCTCTGACTGCCTGAGCTTGTAGACTTGCTCTGTACAGCCGATTGAGCACAAGCCCATAGACGAGAAGTGTTGTGAGCTGCAGTTCATGCTGTGCATAAACATTGGACAGCTCTGACACTGTGTCACATAAAGAAGTGTGATTTCCTTAAACACCTGAAAACTTAAGGGTTTAAGATGTTTCAGAGGTGTTGTGTGGGGTGTTGTCCTGTTATCATCTCTATCGTCTTTATCCAGAGGAAAAGACCAGCAGGGCTGGAACGGTTGTGCTTCCCTACTAACAGCATAAATACAATACTTCTTCCTCTTTGAGACAGGCAATATAGGACAGAAAACTACCAAGTATTGATCCCCAGTTGATTTCCAGTCCGTACATCCAGGATTCTTCACTTTCTGAAAGCACATAGTATTTTAAAAACCATATTTTTAAAGGCTTTGTGGGCCTTTAGATTTGCCTGGCACAGGCAGGGCGGGTTGAGAAAATCAACACAGCATGATTTTGTCCTAGACAGCTGTCTTCTGGTGTAAAGAGTTGCCTTCAGAGCTCAGCAACCCTAAAAGAAGATGTTTCCTGCCTCAAGGAATTTATAGACTAAATTAGACAGGTAGCGCAATAATTGTCATGAATGAAAGTCATACGCATTTCTAGGTCAAGCATAAATGCAAAAATATCCCTAAAATAGCCTTCAAAATCCATCACATTAGAACTTGGCTCAACAATAATTTCTTCATTCTTTGGCAATTTTAAAGTATATTATTTCTTGGTTTGAACATAAATGATTTATTACATTTCAGCAACTCTATCATTTAAAAAAGGGGGTCAACTTAACTATTTTAATTGGCAAAAATGCATTTCAAGTTCTATTTTTTGCCAGTCATCTTTATTTTAACCTAATACAAAGCAAAGGAATAAAGTTGGGGTTTTTTTTTAGTTTAATGAAATAGTATTTATCACTATTTTTCCTTTTTTTTATTTAAAAATATTAAAATGTTCAAGTCTTTTAGTATTACTTAAACATTTTGATATCAAGTCTACATTCTTTTCTGAAGAAACTTTTATACACAAAACATGGGATTTATACACCATTACACTGCTGCTTTCTAATCCCCTTTCAAGAGCTGTCACTTATTCACCCAGTTTCCTACTCTGGTGCTTGCTGGTTTTTCTATATAGAACAAAAATATATTTCTAAGTTGGCATTGCTTCCAGTTGCAATAAAAAGAACAATACAATAAGACAGAACAAAAATAAAGCCTTCACAAGGAAGCTTTCAAGTTGTAAATTTGCATGAGAGCATCTCATTTAAGCACACATAGAAAATCAACTTGTCCCTGTGAACAGCAGGGAGTTTAAAGTTGCAGACTAAGAGAGAATAGTTATACAAACAGGCACAATTTGATTTTGTGACATTGGACTACAGTGTTATCTCAGCAGGTACCTACCCAGAGCGAGTTGGTGGCAGTGAAGACAGGCAGCGCATACTCTGAATACAGAGATACTCCGGTTTCACTTGGTACATGATGTCAGCGTGATCATTGAATAAAGGTATTTCACTGAGATGAAAACTTGGAGTGTGCCTGCCTCACCTCTCTCTTCTTCAGAAATTTTCTAACACAGAGGCTCATGTATTTTGTTGGCAGCTGGTGTGAGCGTTCATAGAGACATAACTGCCAAAAGGCTACATTTCTTCCTTTCAAAACGGTGTGTATTTAACTCGGCTAAAACAGAGCTGGAGCAAAGAGGAAAGACAGGAAGTATGGTTTTTCCCCTGAGATGCTTTAGGATAATTTACCCAGTCAGTGACCTCCAAAGATATGAGGCCTCTCATAAAGAGTATGGGACCTGTCAGACTTTCCTGTGAAATCCTCCTCCCCGTACAGCAAAAAATTAGCTCCTTGAACACAAAGAGACTTTAATAACAAATCAAAGCCAAACATTTCCGCAGCAATGGAAAGCGTATCCTTTCTTGGCCTTCACTTGGCAACTGGAACAGACAAATCCATAGTCTTCACTCCTTCACCTACACAGAGCCTTTGGAAAAATGAACAGCAGGGGAGGCTTAAAAAACAGAGGCTCCAAGTCCCTAGAGGTGGTTGCCTTGTGCTTGAAAGCTTCCTTTAAATAAATGGTAGCACAGTAAAATCAGAGAGTTCAGACACTTTCATGTGTGCTGAATTAATACACTGAAGGCTGGACATACAACTCAAGACATCTGGGAAGTACGGTTTAAAGCCATGCTCTGTGGAAAGCTGGTAAAAGCAAGAAGAGTGGCCAGTTTTTAGTGCTTTAGGCAAGCTGAGTAGGGAAAGTAAGGTGTCTGTAAAAGAATGCACCAGGTTTTTCCTTGTGCTTTTTCATGGGTCTTGAATCAGAAATCACGAGGGAAAAGGGCAACTCTGTCGTTAAATAAACAGCTTTCATGCAGGGTGTAGATTCAGAGCATCTTTCTTTCCATTCCCTCTCCGTACAGATGACACGCTCACCTCTTCTCAGCCCATAAAATTACCCACTCTAGAGGAAGACATCCCTCTTTGTGTCCTCAGCCAGAGTTACAGGCACTGGCAGAAAAGCAGCAGAGGATGGCTTACCTAGAACAGCATTCCTCCTATGTGTATCAATTTAAATGGCAAGGTGTCCTCTGCTTACGGAGAGGGCCACAAGCCCTTTTGCACCCACAGAACAGCTGCACATCACAGAACCAGGGAGGCATGAAATCCTCCTTTACACAGACAGCTCCACTGAGCCACCGGGCAGAGGGATGAAAAGGGAACAAAGAAAAGCACTTCCCACTCTCTATCCCATGCATTTCATCAGTGTGAAAGACACTCTCTTGTCTACCCTCTCGTCTGGGAAGAAGCTTGACTAATAAAATCAGACAATTAATATTCTTCATCACCACTGGCTGCACCATTTTTTACCTCTTTCATTGTTCTTTTCCCCACCGACCCCACTGCTTTACCAGTATCTTGAATCTGGAATAAGCCGAAAGCCTTTCATCTTATCAGGTGTGGTTTATTGCCCCCTGGTTACACAGTAATTTTGGTCTCCACTCCTTGGAGAGGTCATATGATGGGATATCAGCACAAGAATTGTCAGTTCACTGGACAAATAAGGCAGGGCCTGCCAATACAATTATAAGAGCCCGATAAGGAAGACACAGAGAAGAACCAGCAGGAGAGGGAGACTCAACCATAGCAATTTAAAAGGTGAGGGGCAATCCCAGAAGAAGGCAAGAAATGCCAGTGGGGGCAGGGAAAGGGAAGGAACGGGAGTGTATCTAACCACACATTCTCCCCAAATAAGAATTAACAAGACGGAAAAGGCTCAGGAAAGGAATCATTGGCATTCATTCTCATTATCCAGGAAATCTCTCCTTCAGTGGATGCCAGACTGGGAGACACAAGCAACTGGTGGGATAATTACCAAACTAGCTTCCCTCATAGCTCAGAAGGGGAAGAAAAACAGGTTTTATCTTTAGGATTATAGGTGGGGAGCAGAGGGCACTAATTCCTATTCCTAAGCATGTTGCAGAAGCCATCGCTTTTTCTCTTGTGACTGATAAGATGGGATGATGTTGAAAAGCACCTGTTTGGAAAGTTCAAAGGGTTTCCAAAGTAGAAGAAAAGAGAATCTGAACTGAAGCTTATGGGTGGGGGACGTAGCTGAAGGATAACCTGGGAATTCCTAGTGAGGGAGGTTTCTCTCTTGTATGCAAGAGAAGTTCACAAGGTTCCTTTCTTACTAGTAAAACAAGCAAGGGTCAAGTATTCGTCCTGCTGGTTAACTCTCTAATAGTACAAATCCAATGGGCTTGCCGAAGATTTCAGCCTGAAAGCAGAAGAGGATAACTGCCCCACCAACAGGATTTACCAACAAGAAGCAATCCTTCCCGGAGCATTTTCCCCCTGGGTCTGTGAGGAGCACACATCTTCCCAAGAGGTTCGTAGCTCTGTAATCTGCACTGGCTGGGGGATGCTGGGCAGTGGGTAGGATGGGCAAGACTTTACACCCCCACTTGTAATGCTGTCTTCCCCAGACACAGGAGCGTATGTCTTGATCCCAAGCTGATCAGCAGAGAGGAGCAGGCGCATGTGCTCACTCTGAGTGGCCTTTGTTTTCCCTCTGAGTACTGCTGCAGGTCGGCTGGGCACGGGTGAAGAGAGACAGGCACATGCGTCTTGGGGCACACCGGGAGCCAGGAGAGCAGGAGAGCACTCTCTGCCCTGTAGCCACTTTGGCAAGAAGATGACAGACCCCCAGGGGTGTGCTGGCCAGGGGAAGCCCAGCCTGTCCTTTTCCATAGAGGAGATCTTAAAGAAACCTTCTGCCAGCACTGCCCTAAGCAGGGAAACCAGGAACAGAAGTAGCTACGCAGAGAGGCCACAAGCCCTAAAAGCAGTGTCACCACTGGCCTTTGGTAAGTACCAATTATAACACTTAATGAAAATGCTCCTTTCTTTTTAACCCCTAGAGCTATCACATTTGATGCAGGGGGGCGGAACTAGGTGATCTTAAGGTCCTGTCCAACTCAAACCATTTTGTGATTCTATGATTATGTAGAATTTTTATTCTTTAGCTTTTGTAGGAGTCTAGGATTTCCTGAATCAGGTACAAATCATTAATTGTATATACAGAAATGATCCTTAAAAAATAATTTGCTTTCAACCTTGCAGTAGACTGGGCTCTGTTCCCAGGCTTTGGTGGGATTTCATACATTATGAAGTCCCAGTGTCGTTGGAGAGGTGGGTATGCAACCTGAACAGTTACTGCAGGTAGCTCTCTTCAATAGCAGTGAGAATTGCTTATAGTAAACAAATACAATATCATCCCAGTGTCTTTCCCTTTAAAAAAAAATATTCTTGTTATTAAAAGAAAAAAATCCCCTGTCATAAAGAAGGACAGCCATTCAAATTCAGGAAGTTACCTAAAATTGCTGAAACATACTGAAGTTGTTGCAGTTTCACTTAAATCAAGAGCTGAGTGTTGTCTGGAATTACAGCCAAATCTCACATTAGTACATTCTCTGATAAATTCGACTACTCATCCTCAAGGAGGAGAAATGGTCTGCAAAGGTAATGGTAGCTAAGGAGTGTTAAAACTCAATTGCTGGAACAAGAAAAGAGAAAACATTTGTGTTTAATCATTTCTCCTTATCATCAGGGACACTAGTTTTTTTCATGAACTAAAGAAAACCAGCTAGTAGAAAACTAGCATGACTTCAATCTTAGCAAACCAGCAATGCATTAGCCTATTTAACTTCAGTTTCCACAGTTTAGTTACTTTGGCCTTGAGTGAACCTTTACCCCCCAGAAATTCTCTCTTTTATTTTCCTTAAACAAAGACCAATGGCCAGAACTTTCAGGATTTAGTATTCCTTCTTCTTTTTTAATTTACATCGTCCATGAAATGGAGATTTTTTAAGCATACAAACACATCCACTTAACTGGAAAATGACCTGTAGTTTTGAGAGAAAAGTTTCACTCACCTCTCGCTCAACTGCTTTTAACAAAGCTTAAGGCTCCACTTCAATTTTTGTAACACGCAGGCATTCTTTCATGGTTCAGGACCCCATTTCCCAGGACACTGGATGAATCACCCAGCAGTAAGGGAGAGACTTTTTCCAAAACTCTGGCAGTCCAAGTAATCATTGTTTATTTGCATAGCTTCAGCTCTTTTCATGTCTGTAAGTTGATACTGACCTGGACTAGAAAGAAAACAAGACCTAAATCGGGAAGGAAACTACAATAAAGTGAGCACCTCACTTACTACTGTAACATTAGTCACCAGTCCCACTAACGCTGCCTCTCAGCCATTCTTTGCGCAAGAGATTTGCCCTTTCTTGTTCAGCTCTGACACAGGGCAATTTCATTCACTCTGTACAGAACTTGTTTCCTAACCATGGGGCAGAGCCAGCCCACAAAACACCTCACAGCTGTGGAAGCCTCAAGCATGGGGCTGAGTATGTGACTGCTGCCTTTGCGCCGGTATCTGCCGCTTTCCACAGAAACCCATGTGTGGGGAAGAAGGATAGCATGCTGCTGAATTTTCCCAGAACATAGGCTAGCTGAGGTTGGATGGGAGCTATTGAGATCATGTGGAACTCCAGCTTGCTGCTCAAAGAAAGGACAGCTTTGAAGACAGACAAGGTTGTCTATCTTTGAAGCTGCCACGGTGAGCACTGCTTGGCTGTTTCACTACTGGTACTGTTGGAGGACTGCAGCATTTAGAGGCCTCCTAAGGCTGCCAGTGCAGATTGGACTGGAACAACAGCAGGCCCAGGTCATGTTTTAAATATGGCCCTGAAACAAGTAAGAGCTTGGCAGTTTGTAGGGGTGGGCAACATATTATGCTTGCTGGTGATTCATCCAGTGTCCTGGATATTACGCTTGCTGGTGCAAGCATAATAGAGCTTGAGTGCTGAAGGAGCCCAGGTGCTACATTGTGAAGGGGGGGAAATGCTGGTGTGAGCTCCATGGGAGTGAGATTTTGTGAACTCAAAGTCCTTTCCAGAGGGCAGTTTCTGTGCCACTGGATCCAAAGTGAGACAGATAACACCACTGAAAATGAAGTCAGTGCTGTTCATAACATGGACCATAGAACTGCATTTTAACAGCATGAAACTCTTCTCTGAGAACAGAGAAGCGTGCAGAGACAGGACCTTTTTATATTATGTCTGTTTTGTGATCAATATGTTGAAGCCCTGTTTCGTTGTATGCTTCAGCTAAGCGTGCTGCTCCAAGCGCAAGGTCTGACAAATCTGTATGCAGGACATAATGGGTTCCTAGGACTGCATTACTGCACTGCCAGTACTGTCTCATCCCAAATTGCTCCACCTGAGAGTACAGTCAGTTTTTCACCTTGAAAGCAATGCAGGCAGAAAAGCCAGGCCTTGCCATTGACTTCGCTTCATCACCTAGCCAAGAGACAGACTGTAGCTGTATCAAGAGAGTATACTAACTCTTTTCTCCCCTGCTAGAAAGCCAGGTTGGATTAATACACTTAAAGCAGTGTAAAATGTTAACTTATGAAAATAGTAGATTCATTTAGCTGTCACTGTATCTGAGCAAACAGGAAAGCTGTAGAGATATTCCAAACTGTTGTTGTACGTTGCTTTTGCTATTGACCAAGGGTGTTTAAAAAAAAAAGCCTGAAAATGAATCTTTTTCACTGTTGGCTTCTCACTAACACCAAATTGATACTTAGGCTTATTACCCTTTGCTTTCCCAGCAGAACTGCCGATTTTTGCAGATAAGGTTTATTTAGTTCAGAAGTGCAATACCCTATGCTGTACATCTTGGGATAATTGCTGTATTTCATCAGTCATTCAACTTCATGCCATATAACTGCCATTAAACAAGTTGTGTAAATAGTCAGCTATATCTAATTTGCCTCAGTGCTGGCCAAGGTCAGGGCACTGAAATGCGCAAGGAAACTTGTTGGAAATTCCAGGAGGGGACACACATCCAGCTCCTTTCCCAGAACAGTTCAGCACTTTTCAGCAAAGAAGGAAGTATTACAGGTCAGACCTGAGTTATACCTTACGATGGATTTTAAGAACATTTCCCATATCCCATATGGTATGTATCTGAACCAAGCCATGATCCATATGAAAGCGAACTGGCATCACACACATACTCATGGCTACCAAAAGTTAAATACCAGGGCCAGAAATTATCATCCACCTCATCTGCTAATCTAGGCAGCCTAGGTACTGAGATCACACTTGTCTAAATCTAGAATTCAGAGCTGAGGAGATGGGTAATACCAGAGAACCAGAAGATGCAGAATGTCAGAAATTAGGGACACAAAGTTTGCCCTGGAGTAATTTCCCAGGAAAACCTGGGAGTGCTAGATCAGATGGCTTCTAGAGGTTGCTCCTAACCTAAATTATTATGTGACTCTTTAACAAAAAGGATGTTGTGATGTACAGTTGCAGCCTCTTATGGAAAGCTGGGGCAGGATTTGATGATGTATGAGATCTCTGGGCCTGACTTTGAAGTTTGCAGGTTTTTCTGAGTGTAATTCCTGTGGGACTTGGAATAAGGAGTGTGCAGTCTTCCCAGGAGTGTGTGACTTTTCAGTTTTAGTGAGTTTACTGCATACAAACACAACTACTAGGTGGCCTGAAACTGCATCTGTTGATCTGACATCTACTGAAAGACTCTTACTAAGTTAAAAAAGGAACAGTGAACAAGAAGACATTTTAGTATTCAGTCTATGCTTTCCATCTCTTCTTTTTGTCACAATGCCTCAGGAGGGTAACCATGTCCTTTGCAAGTGACACAAATGAGCATCCACCAAGTGCTGATCTCCTCCCTAGTGCCAAATCTTTCATTTTAAACAAAGAAGACTAGGAGGTTTATTTCAGAAGAAATCCTTCTTCTGAAATCCCTAGGAACTTGATTTCAATGTGCTTGAAAGTACATCTGAAATAATTGTTCATTACTCCACCACCACTGAAGTTCCACCAGCAGGAGGTTCTTTATCTAGTCAAGGAGAGTTTGGGATGAGTACATTACACCTGGGAAATTAATAGTAAAAGCAGTAACAGATACAGCAGTTTTGTCATTCTGCCTGTTATGCCCCATTATGTTAAGGACATGCAAATTAATAGGAATACAACTGCTGCTTCACACACAGTCAATATGGTGATTGTTTACTTCACCCTTAGCAACACCCCACCCAGCTTTATTGCAAAAGAGGAAACAAGCTGAAGGAATAAAACTGAACAGATACCACCTGGCCAATATCACCAGTTCATCCCACCTTTTACAAGGCAAAACAATGCACCTTAAAAAAAAAGGCAAAGAAGCAAGAGAAAAACAACACAATAAAAAGATGCTTGCATATCTCAGTGACAGCCTTCTCTGTTCAGAGTTGTAGTAAGATCCTAAAGTCATAAGCCCTATGCCTCCAACAGGTCTTTCTCTTCAGTGATTACACAGAAAGGCTTAAATGGAACTTAGGCTATCTGAAATAACCTCCCACTTCCAAAAGGAAATCTTACTATCTTGCAAGAAATTTCCCATCCTTTTCTATGCAATTGAAAGTTAAACTAAAAAGACCATTTTGAGCCATAAGTCAAAGTAATTTCTGTGCATGACAGTAAAAAGTGTCTCATGTTGTGCCAGGCTGAAATGTCATAGCCATCCCTGAAAAAAAAAAAAAAAAATAGAAAAAGAAAAGGAAAGAGAAGAAAAGAAAAGAAAAGAAAAGAAAAGAAAAGAAAAGAAAAGGAGAAAAGAAAATTAATTGGAGGAAATTTCACCCCATGCCAATTTGTAGGTATTTTTCATAGCTCTCTGCTGGAGTCACATGAATATGCACTAAAAAATACTGTCTGTCCTAAAGAGTTATCACTTCAGACAGTCTCCTTGCTTGTTCAGGACAACAAACACCAGAGAAGGTTGCAGTGCAAACAGGACTAGACTTTAGGGTTCCTAAGTCTCAGATATGTGCTTTAAACTCAATATCATCTACCTTCAATCTTATTCTCCAGAAAACTTCTTGATCTTTTCTGACTCTCTTTAGGGCTCATAGCATTCTAATTACTGCTTCTATCTCAAACAACCGATCCTCCCACTCCTTTTCACCAGTTCACATCAACATTGGTATTTTCCCATCTGCCAAGGGCAGTCTTCCATTCCCTCCCTGTTTTCTCCTCTTCAGTCTATAATTATTCTATCCATGCACACACAAAAGTTGTGCTCATCACTGGAGTATGTAAGCATCTCAGAAAAAAAGTCAGAGGGAGGAAAGCTGTGTATGAAGGATGAAGATATGTGAAAAGTCTTCTATAATTTAGAAAATGCCAGTGTCATTCTCAGGAAGCTTTAATCACTGCTCATAAGAGCACCTTGCTCAGGTACTGTTACGTTCTTCATTACTGTAGGATATAAGCACCACTGATTCTGTAGCATACCCATTTTCTCAGCATCGCATCTAGCAAAGGAGTGCACCTAGTCCTTAATATAAGGATGGGGGATTGAGATATAAAAACCTATGCCAACACTAATATTCTCTGATGAATAATGAATAAATCATTTAACACCAGCCACGAGCCGGTGACCACTGCCAGGTCTATCCCTCTCCTTCATTCCGCAAATATTGTTCAAAACCTCACCTGTTTTCTTACCAGAAAATTCAAACCTAGTTGATCCAAAAGGAATTAAATTAACCTTGTTTTGCACAATACGCCTCAAACACAGAGGTGGACCTCATACCAGGTTTTTAAGGTTCACAGGCAATTGTGTTTAGAAGTTTACCCAAAGATTGGTGATAATTTGAAAAGATAATATTTGAACAGTCATTCTTTATTGACATGAGGCTTTGGCTAATTTCCAGTGCTCTTGTAACTGCATTTTCTTCATGTCACTGTCAGCCCTCTGTAAAATTCCTCTTGTGTGGGCTTTCACTAAGGGCAAAAAGGGGCACTTTGTCTCCGGATGTTATAAATATCATTGCTCCAAGGCTGGTTACAAATAGAACTGTTATTTGTTCAGAAAATAAGCTCTTGACAAGTCTAAAAAGTTAGATGTTTTTCAATGCACCAGAAGTAAAATATGTATTAAAATAATGGAGTTTCTTCCAGTATAACCTGTTGGGGTTCATGCATGCTGCTATTTAGATATAAGAGGGGAACAGCCACAGGTGCTGCAAACCCCAGAACCTAGGTATGGGTAACTCCTCTATAAAAAGATGCTTGCAGTCCATTAATGCATTAAGATTTTAAAGTTCTTTGGTGGTAACAGCAGCCAAAACTGTGCTGCCACGTTCACTTCAGTGTTACGTTAAACATGGAGCCTAATGAGTCCATTATGTTTATGTGTTGCCTCTTCTTCTGCCTTTCCCAGCAAAGAAATCCAGGCATGGAGGAAAACTAGATCAAATTCTAGGTTTGCCATTAAAACAGCACACACCCAGTTATCTTGTCTCTGAAGAGTCAAGCCTTGATTGCATCTATCAGGGGCAGCACATAAAGCACTAGGAACCAGGGATTTTGGTGAGGCTTTAGTGTAGAAGAGAGGAGGTAAGTGAGTGGGAGTATTTGGTCTAGCATCCTCTCTTGGGATACTAACAGCCACTAACAGACCCCAGCCTGAACAGTGAAGCTTCCCAGCATGTTATACTTCAGTGTATGTCTTTTTAAGCTCCACTTACTCTTAAAGAAGAGTAAGGACTCACTACGTCTACAAGAGCAGAAAATTAATCTGAAAGATATTTGCAGTACCCCTGTACACACAGAGCTGACAGTGTTTGTAATGAGGCAGAAGAAAGATTATGGCTTCTGTGATCAATTTCATCACCAATCAGTGACAGGAATCCTAGCACATGTCACCACTGGCTGCTACTGAGGTTACCTTCAGCTCCCACGGCGACTGTTTGTAGTGCCCATGTTCAAATCTAAGATAACCATATGGCTGCACTTCCTGAAAATGAGCCAATATGCACTTCTCTTATGTTTGTCCTGTCCAAGAGCATGCAGGGGATTTCATGAAGATGAGTTGGCTGTCAGTACTTTCCTAGATATCACCAGTGTCACCTGTCACAAAGGCAGATGGATAATGTTGACATCATGGGCAAAGGCTGCTTTTAGAATTATCCAATGCCTAAATCTGAGAGGCAGGCAGCCCAGATGTAGAAGAAAGAACAAATGGACCTAAATCAGGGAAGACAATGACCTTTAGCTTATTCTGGCTCATTTTCCTGTAGGGTAGATGTACTTACAGGGACATTTAAGAAAGGAACAATTTTTAAAAGCATTTGACATACAGCAAATTCCATAGTGATCTTGCTGACAGATTTTCAAAACACTCCACATCTACTGCACTTCCGAGTTGTTAGAAAAGGCAGCCACTGATTTGGGTACCGACATGGCAGCTGAGCTTTCTTGACATTGGGTGTGCCTCCTTACTTCTACAGTCCCTTCTTGAAAATATTCCACAAGGACCATTGAAAGTTTTAAGGTGGAAGGAAGCAGAGAACAGGCTGGATTTTGGGGTCAAATTCACCAGGATCATGCCTCTGCAGCATGGGTTCATCTTGGCATTGATGCACAGTACAGAACGATCAAGGCCATTTTAAATATTATCAGGTTTGAATGCTACAGTATTTAGCACACATCCATGATTCTATTTTTTCACACAAACTAGAAGATGCACTGAACAATGGCTGGTTTATTCAAAGCTATTTTGTGCTATGTCCTTCACAGATTCCAGCAGCAGGAGTCAGTTAGACTGTGACTTATATTCAGCCAAAATGCTTCTCCCTGCCATGTGTGCTACACACATAGCCAGGGCAAAGAATATGCAGGCAGCTCACTGCAGAAGACCTACTGGCAGCCCAGCTTCCCTCCTGGGTGAGGATGAACGACATCAACACCTGGAAGGCAAAAGAAAACACGAGGAAGAAGAAGATCAGATATGTGATTTTCCTGTGGACCATCCACTTCATGGTGAGTGCTTCTACATCCAAACTTTCTCCCAGAGTACCCAAAACCACAGATGCTATCTTACAGTGATGTACATGGCAATACCTAGTAACAGACGTCACAAATATGGCTGAGTCACAGGGATGATTCTTCAGTGCTGCCATCGAAAACATGGAGACTCACCCTTTGAGCTAAAGATCTAGATCTGGCCTGCCAACCCTACCAATTTTAGTGATAGGGACTGCTTGGGGTGGTTATTGCCCTTCTAGTTGGGGTGGCAATCTACAGTTACCATGTTCAGCGGCGTCTCTTCCCGGGTTGTGCAACGCCCGTTTCCCGACAAATAGGCATTGCACAACGTGGGGAACAAGGCTACTGAGCATGACAAATCAGCTCCATGTGTTCCATACACCTTGGACCCACTGTGCAGGTGATGAGGTCATCAGCATGCACATAGGCAAACTGTCCATGTGCAGTCGGTCTGGCATGCAGGATGGGCCAGGCACAATTTTCAAGCCTGGCTATGTTGGCAGGTCTGGTAATTTCATTAGTTGTGAGCACTGGTGAAGAGCAGTATATCTCTTAACCAAAGAAAAGGGCAATACAAATATATTTTTCCAATATGTTGCACAGAGGCTTTAAACGAAGCAGGGTGCATGGTACCTGGACAAGACAAGTTCCTAACAGACAGACTGCAGCTTATTTGGAGCTTGTGGCAAAAACTGCTTTAAGTTCTTTGGGTTTTAGGAAAGGTTAATACAGATTATCATACTAACTGAGAAAACAACTCAGTAGCAGCAATAAGGTGTTTCCTTCATAGTCTGTTATTATTCACTCCTTTCTGAAAGAAAGAAAAAAAAGACAATTCCAATTAAGGCCATGGAAGACTCCTAATGGAGCTCATGTGACCACAGATGCACTTGTTCAGCTGGCTTCACTGAGATTCACACATCTTCCTCAGCCCATACTCTGCAAGGTGCCAAAGGAAACATTTCTCTCTGTGAAATATATTTGAAAGAAAAGCCTTGTTCCTGCTGCTGCTGGTATGGTACATACGAGTCTTGTGATGAGCGGCTGTCACCTCCTTCTCCTGCATGAGACAGCATCTGTCTTGACACAGACAGAAGTCTTGTAAGATAACTGGATATTTTAGCCTATCTCTGACCTGTAAGCTGCATGCAGCTGATGGCATCAGGACAAAATCAAGTTCCTCACAGACCAGCTAGGGCTGTAAGTATCTGGATTTGGAGTTGCCCATGAGTACTAAAAAGGAGTATATTTCATGCAGGAGGGAGTCCCCAGCCACAGGGATCACACCGGAGCTGGCTGGTGGCTTTCCCAGGGTGATAGAGGAGGGTGGCAGCTATCCCGACTCAGCACTTAGCCTCATTGACCAGCACAGTGGTTGGTACCAGCCTCATCAGCAAAGCAGGCTGGAGAGGATGTAATTATCTGCACAAAGCCAAGCCAATCTGAGCAGGTCCTTTCAATGGAAACATGTTTTAAAGACATTTAAACAAAATCCCTCTGTTTCCTGGTGGCAGTGGGGATTTGAAACCAAGCAGAGGTTTAATGATCTGCCATTTTCTAGGCTAATGGTTCCTGCAGTTGCTGAGCCTTTGATAGAAACTGGCTCAAGGAGGGAGGAAGATCCTGAAGCACTGGGTTTGCATTTTCCCTGCAGTGCACAGTGATGTTTCATATCCCATTCATACACTGTGTCATTCTTAGTAGAGAGCTGGAGGCCTGGGCTTAAAATCCTTTCCAGCATCATAAGCTTCAGCCTTCTTTCTCTACTTTACATTAGGGAAGAAGAGCTAGCGGCTCTTTTTCTCCTGCCGCTGGCTGTGGCATGAGTCATCTTTGCCAGACAAGGTCAGTAGCATTCCCTGCAGGAGAGGTAGACTGCACCACCCTTGAAAACAGTCTCTAATCCTTACATTTTGTGCTGATAGCAAATTAACTTCCGTTTCAATGCCTATCAACTCTGTGGCGCTTCAGACACACTCTCGGCATGGTAACTATAGTCTGATTATCGGTCATCTAACAAGGCACAAGGGCAGTGCCAAATGCCCATAGCATGTGCCATGGAGGTGTCCCCAGGACCTCCCTCACATCTGCATTGAGGATGCCAACAAGTGGCCAGGGCAATGGCACCAACCCTCTGCACCAGGAGAACTTTCTGATGTGAAAGACACCAGAAGTCCTTGGCTGGGCATTCCCTTCCCTCTTTCTCATAGCCCACCTCTATCTCTATAAAATACCTGCATAATTTGTGAGGAAGGGCACTAGGCTCTGGCTAAGAACACACGTCTGTACAGCTGTCATGGAGCAGAAGAAATCAAAAGGGCTATGAAATCACCTAGGTGGCAGGAGAACTGGGGTTTGTTTAGTGCTTTCTTGGATAGGAAGAGAAAGATGGGGAGGAGGCTGTTACATTATGCCCTTCATGGGCAGGTAGTCTGAGATAGCAAGAGCACCCCAACTGTGTTGTGAGTGTGAATTTGGAGGGTATTTCCAGCAAACTCTGTAACTCTGTAGTGTTCCTAAAAATTTTTTTCTCCCAAAAAATGCCTTCTGTGGCAAAGTGGTTTAGAAATGCAGTGTCTTCTAAACTTAACAGATTTATGCCCTTATCACAAACCATTTACAGGAAGCAATGCCTCTTGCACTTTGAACTTAGAGGCTGCATCATAAGCAAAAGAAAGATAAAAGCCCTCACATGCAGGAGACATGCTGACAGTGACATTTAGTTTTGTTAAGCTCCCATTTGAATTTTGAAGCCTTTGTTCTGAATGTTGGGTGCTCTCACCTGTAGCCTTCTGCATGAAAAATAGCAGAACCTGTTCAGAAAAACTCATTCCTGGGAGCAGTGCTTATAAAATCTGGTTTAGGAGACCACTCTGAGAGACGCCTTTACTTTGGAGCTGGGTACAGGCTGTGCTTGGGTCAGCTCCCTGTGAAATGATTAAGTGCTGCTGGTTTGCTGTGTACAACCATCATTGCTAGGGTCTTCAAAACTTATGAACAAGGAGGACAAGCTCTTGGGGCTGTCAGTCAGCATCACAACAACACATCCCAAGTTGTGAGCTCCCACTTTCCATTTAATTCCTTCTCTCTACCCTACATGACACCCCTGAGACTTGCAGCCAAGCGCTGGAGCCTGGGAGGATTACCTGCCCCCATGCCTGTGTGACCTGCTGGAGACTGCCACGTACAAAATCCCAGCCTAGTTCACATCCTTATGGGCAATTCTTTTGCAATGTGTTCTACACATGCTGGGTCTGGTTGCATACATCCATGTGTGTGTGCTGTAACTATTTACATCCAAATGAGTGTGCCCAGCACTGCACATAGGCAATAGATGCAGTCCTTTATTCCAGCAAGGGAGCAGTCCATGCCTTGGAGAAGCCAGACAGATAGCAGCATCACCTTAAGACACTGGCAGACGCACAGTCTTGTTAGATTTCTTCTCTGAGAAATAATTCAAGTACAAGGTAGAACAGGCTTCAATAAATGGAGCTGACTCCTAATTCCAGCAGAAATTGAGGTTTTCAGGTCATCGGAAAAACTGGAATATGTTGTTTCCTTCAGCTCATGTCTCCTTTATTCACTGTAGAGGAGGATGCCATAATGAGTCAATGTCACCCAAATATTTCCATAGCAGATATCCTCTGCACATTGCTGACTGGAAGCCCAGGGATCTTTTTATTAATCAAATTATTTTATTATTATGATAGTATCTTTGATCCCAAAGCATACTGACAAATTCTGGTGGCAATTATAAAGACAATGGGAAATTTAGAGATGATCTCAGTTCTGGAGAACTTCCAGTGTAAGTCAGTGATGTCCCCTCTGTACTGATGTCAGTTGCATGCATCTTTAGCTTACTGTTAATGTTCTCTTTAACTCCATAAATTAATTTGTACTGTTCACTTGTGGACAATATGGTTAAATCCATGTACCCCTGTGAAACAGCATGGTTTATCTCTTGCAGAACAGTCTTTTCCCCAATATGCTGACTTATCTTAATGCATTTATAAAGCAGCCAAGAGACTATGAAGCACTGTGTAATCACAATCCCAGATAAATATCAGCTGTCCAGAACATGCCAAAGGGACTGCAAGAAAGGGCATAAGCATCCCATTATCCTGCAGAACAAAAGGAAGCAATTCTAAATGAAAAGGAAAAGCAGAAGGAAAAAATACATGCCTATATGTATAATTTGGCTACCATTAGCTGTCTTAGCAGTCTTCTGTTTATCAGCATGAATAGACCCTGCAGCCATGTGTCTCTGAAGTGCTGTATTCCTATATACATTTAGAAATGCAGCAGACCATTGACCTTGTTTTGGTGCGTTTACCTGAGGCACTGTTGAAGGCTGGTTCTTTGCTTTTCTCCCTCTTTGAAGACTGACTGTTTATAATCACACCCTGGATATTAAAAGAAAGTCATGACACCTGAATCCTTTACTCCCACCCTTCAGATTCTGTTCACATAGAAGTCTCACTGATACAAGTGAGCACTGAAGAAAGCAAAGCTGTCAGCAGTTGGGGGGACTACAATAAATACTGCTTGTATTGTTTCTTTGTGGATTTGTGGTTTTGGGTTGTTTTGTATTTGTTTGGTTTTTTTTTACTTAGAGCAAGTGTTAGCATTCAATGCTTTCCTCTATCAGCCTCTGCTTTCCCAGGAACTCTGGATCCGAAGGGTATATTACACAGGACCCGGAGATTAATTTGTTCCTGCTAATCAAATCTGTGTAATGTGACCATTTGTAAAACTAATTGCACACCTTGATAAGCTTATTTCAAAGGTCTTATGAGTACTTATTTAGCTTCTCCTAAATTAGTATCATAGAATCATTGAATTGTTTGCATTGGAAGGGACCTTAAAGCTCATCCAGTTCCAACCTCCTGCCACCCCTTCTAGTGGAAAGCATGGACACTTTCCACTAGACCAGGTTGCTCCGAGCCCTGTCAAACCTGGCCTTGAACACTGTCAGGAATGGAGCAGCCACAGCT